CGTTAATTCAAATACATACCGCACATTGAAATTCTTATCTTTATATATATATGCGACACAGCTACTTCTATTCTGATGACTAAACCGGACTGATAAATTAGGGTATGCATATTTTACCCAATCTCCCTTTTCATTTTTCTTTACGATGGCTCCAAAAATGTAATAGTTACTGTCAATAAGTGAACCAGGGAATCTAATGACAAAAATATCCTGTTCATCCTTCTGGAATAATTCTTCTCCATTAAAAACAATTTGATATTGGCTAAAAGTATTATCAATGATAGGGCCTGTTTTTCTCAAAATCTTGTATAATGGCACCCAGTCTTCATAAGAAACAACATTCCAATTTTGACCTACTGCTTCTTCAGTCAGATACAAGAAATCTTCAAGCCAAGTACCAATTTTGTCGCGGTGCACAATATCACCGATATCATTAATAAAAAATGAAGTGTCTACTTCAAATTGTTTTTTCCACTCCGTCAACTGATATTCAATTTTATTGATTAATCGTGGATAATCTATATCATATTCAATTTGAATTGATTTTTCTAGTAAACTTTTTTTTGTATGTGGTATGTACTTTTTAGACAAAACCCACCTACGGTTAAAGTTCTAGGTAATATATGTCCATAGTCATCTCCAAATATTTTGCAAAGATTTTTATATGGTTCATTACTTTGAAGTGCTATGTTAACGCTATCTGAATATTTCTTTAAGGATTTGATATCCGTAAGATTAAAGGAAAGTTTTGCCACATTGACAATTATTTGACAGTAAATGGCTCGAGACGGTTGATTTTTAGCAAACTTGAAATCCTCCAAAGGACGGCTAAGTATTGAATTATATTCAGCGAAAGGGATATTATTAAGATCTAAATTATCCCCATCTTTCAGAATTATGCCATTCTCTAATAAATATGCTTCTTGACGATTTCGGGGTTGTGATAATAAAAGTGTGACTTTTTTGATTTCAGTAGCGTGAGGTACCCTTAAAAACTTAAAAGCCGCCTTTTTTCCATGCCCGAGATTTGATTTGTATAGAATCACTCCATATTGGAGTGAACTATTGTGAAGCCAGTCCCATAAAAATAATTCGAGTTTAGGCCTTAATGATATCCATTTTACAAATTCTTTTCTTTCATATTTTTTTTCTGGAATATTAGGAACTAATTCGCCTTCACTATAACCAGTTAAATCAAATAATCTTTTTTGTAAATTATCAGGTAGTAATCTGTAAGATGGAATTAGCTTTCCGTAAGATATAACTTTGGAAAATTCAAGACTATATATTCTCCTAAGCCAGTCGCATAAGTCGCCAAGAGTATCCATTTCGCCGTCAGTTTCAAGTGGAGGTATATTATCAAGGGGTACATCTTCAAAAATTTCAGAATTTTGTCCTTTTCCACAATCAATTCCC